CACACACACACACACACACACACACACACACACACACACACACACACAAACTAAAAAAACCTGTTCATGTTGCAGAATTTAGAAAAAAAAGCACGAAACCTAAATTATTACAAATATTTAGAAATATTTCTCAGCTGATTAAACCTTAAATCTTTATGATAAAACATAATTTCAAGATAGTTTACTTCAGTTTTACTGTTGTGTCTTTTATAGAAGCCTCAGAATTAACTTTATTTTAGCAAAAAGAAAAATAGTCCGAATTTTAGGATTTCTTTGTTCACTCGTTTCTCACAGACTGAACTTTAAATCCTTGTGGGATGCTCTGAAATTAAACTAATCTCTGAGAATTTATTAACAACTAATCTAAAAATACATCTCTCAGGAGAAAATCTAAAAATACCTGCAAATGAAACAGAAAATAATAAAGAATTCCTGCAGAAGGCCTCTGCTTCTCTGTGAGGCTGTTTGTATCTGCTGCTCTCTAGTGGCCACATCTATAAATTACATTAAATTTTCTTTAAAAAAAAAAAAGACAAAGACAAGAATTGTAATTTGTATTTATTGTTTAAATTCACCAAAAATTGTCTTAAACTACATCCAAGAGCATTCATGGTTGTCACTGTGAGCTCATCAACATCCAAAATGATGATGGTGTGACATCATCAGCACCAACGTGATGTCAGAGCATTATGACGTGATTCAAAACGAGGGAAAAACAAAAAACTCAAAAGCTGTCGACAATAAAAGCATCTCGCCGTCTCCCTGGTGGGGCGGAAACATTTAATCCAACGTAGGACTGTGGTTTCCTTCAACCTGCTGCCTTAAAAAAACACACAAAATAAAAATGTGTTTGAAAATGTTTCCTCTAAAACCACACGAAGGCGGTGAAGATGGTTTTTAAAAAACGTTGAGGATTAATACTGATGATTTAAAGCACCGGTTGTGCTCGTTAAACTCAACTTCCCAGCCTTTTCTTCTAAATTTAAATAATTACATCGCTTCAAGTGGAAGAACAGCTTCCCTAAATTGCCACAAGTTTTTTTTCCCAACAAAGTGGTTTCAGTGCGTCAAACTACTAAAAATAAAATCAAACGCTGAGCTGATTAATCAGAGAAGACTGGATTACTCTGCAGGAGGCGCCCCCCCACATTTTGTTTTTACAGAAATGTTTTCCAACACTTAGCTTAAAAAATAACCTTTATAATAAACTCTGGATCAGTTATGCTTCCTGGATATGGAGGACCGAAACTGACATAATTAAAATTAAAGGAAGAAATATATAAATGGTCAAATAAATTAATACATTTAAAATGCATCAATTAGATTAAAAAAGTAGAACTTTCCCTCATGTTTTATAATTTAATTGACCTTCATATTTATTTTTCCAGCTTAGTTCCAACAAATTATAAATTTTAACACATAATTTACATTTGATTGTTTTTAAAAATATACTTTTTGAATTATTTTCTTTCACCTGTACATGCATTTGTGTCTCTTAAATGATTGTTTAATTAACTTTTTTTATAATTTTTCTCACAAGTCTTTTTATTTCCACGAGTTGCTTTAACATTTCTCTGTCTGCTGTTTTTACTTTATGCATTTCTGTCTCATTATGCCAATAAGGGGGCGGGGCTTCGTGGGTCAGCTCATCTTCTATTGGTCAACGGATAGGAAGGAGCAGGATCCATGTGCAGATCTACTGTGCTGCTGCTGCCTCAGTTTAGCTTAAGGTTTAGTTAAAAATAAAGACAGTTTTCCTCCTTGCCTTTGTAAATAAAACCTGAACAAAAGCAACTCATGGAAATAAAAAGACTTGTAGGAAAAATTATATAAAAATAATTAAATATAGACATTTTAGAGACAGATGCATGTACAAGTAAAAGATTTAAAAAATGTGCTAAAATATATAATTCTTTGGAACTAAGCCAGAAAAAAAGGTCAATTAAGTCATAAAACATGGGATAAAGTTCTCCTTTTTAAATTTGATGCACTTTAAGAGTATTTATTTATTGGTCCATTTATTTATTTCTGCTTTTATTTATAATAATGCCAGTTTTGGTCCTCCGTACATGAAAACTTATTTTTCCTCTCAAACACACACTTAGAGTTGGAACATAAATCTGCGTACGGAGATGTAGGATTTATTACTACCACTTGTTTTGTTTTGACTCTTTTGTCAAACTTTAGCCCTAAAAAAAGCTCATGCTTTTGTTTTCTTTTAAATTGATCTCCACACTAATTGTCATCTTTTCTAATATATTTAGTATTTGGTATCGTTTTGAGACAGCACTGTATTCCTCAGCTGTTTCATTAAACTAACTAAGTGATGTTATATATGGCTATAATCTCCTTTACTAACGTCTAAATGACAAGAAGCTTTAAATACAGTGTGCTCAAAGAATCCCCCGCCCCCACAGTAAAAATAAGGTTAAATAAGTTTTCAGACTTTGACATTCTTTATACTAAAATATTGCATTATGTCCACTGTTTTATGGCTGTTAGCGCACTTCACCTTTGAACTCTCCGGGTTTTCAAATGTCACGTTCAGATGATGCTGAAATGTGTACAGAAACAGTCTGACCATCCGTCACCGGGACGAAAAACCAAAAAAAAGAAAAAAAGAAAAAAAAAGAAAAAGGGGAATAAATGACGTTAATGTGGAGCAAAGTTTCCCTCCCGAACCACTTGCATAAATCTTCTCATTAAATCATCTGCTATGTACAGCGACACGTTTTTACATGTCTGACCCGTCTGAGTCCAGAGCTGTCGAACCCGTCCTCAGAAAGACAAAAAATAAATACAAATAAAAACAAAACTGAGTTTCTAATTACAGCAGAATACAGCAGACATCTTTCAAGTAAAACAGCAGTTTGTTTTCTAAGACTACTGATGTGTTCACGTAAAAGAAAAAAAAAAACTGCTCGTGAAGCAGCGTGACGTCGCGCTGCAGCAACACGGACCAACGAATGTGCACGAGATCTCACAACCCTGGCTCCAACAAACCAAGAGACTCTGGAAAACATAAAAAAACCCTTAAATCTTATAAAACCCGTTTTTTATTCACAAAAAACTAAAAATAAAATTGAATGTTTAACTTTAAAATTAGACCTTTTTGATGTATATAATATATATTGATTGATTTTAGTGATTTTTAAATGATTTTTAGATGTTTATTTCTAATGTAGCACTTTGAAATCCATTATTATTATTATTATTACTGTTAATATTTAAGAGGTAAATTAGAAAGTTAAGGCAGCCACATGTCTCTAAAAAGCTGTAAATGTAAGTTTGAACTGGTACAAACTGGTCTGGACATCACTGAATGGGCTCAGGAACACTGGGAACGCTATGTCGAGAAATGCTGCTTAAAGCTCCATCGTGCAAAGAAGAGGCCATACATGAAGACGACCTACTCTGAACCAAATCATTTCAAACTAACCCAGACAGAGAGGAAACAGGAGACGCTTCCTGCCTCTCTGATGGTATGGGGATGCATTAGTGCCTGAAGACTTACATCTATGCAGACAAGGTTTTAGAACCATTTGTTCCCCATCAAGACGACGTCGTTTTTTCAGGGAAGGCCTTGCGTAAAACAGCAAAGACGATGCTACACCTGATACTGCATCCATCCACAGCAGCAGAGTCCGGGTGCTGAACCGGGTCCAGAACCGGTCTCCTCAGTTCCTGGATATTTACAGACTGTTGTTAAAAGAAAGAGGAGATGTTTCGCTGTGGGAAACACGCACCTGGAACAACGTTTTTGAGACATTTGAAGCCATAAAATTCAAAATTATACCTTGTTTTTGTTTTTAATCCTTTAGTTGAAGCATTTGATTTGTTCAATTTGTTCCACTTTAAATAAATGATGTTTTGTTTCAGGTTTTATTTACATTTTACACACATCCTGACTGTTGGAGTGGGGGTTGTAGTTAGTGTTTGACTCAGCTGACAAATATGTCATATGATTGACAGAACATGGCGACTAATTCCTTTTTTTTCATTACTAAATAGAATGAAGAAAAAAAAGTTTAAGAATTTGTTCTCAAAAGATTAGAAAAGCCATCATAACCACAGACAACTAGAAGCCATCAATTTCTCTGCCTCAGAGAAAGAAATCGATTTTTTGCCTTGAAATAAAGTGAGTGGACCAGCAGCACTCACTACATCTTTTTTTACAGTAACCCATTGATAATCATCAATGCACAAAAATTTAAGACAAAAGCACACAAATATCCAAAAACTAAAGTTTGAGACAGCTCAGGGCGAGATTTTTTTCTCTTTTTTGTTTCTTTTTTTTTCTCACTCAAGTTTAAAACACTGATTTTCCAGCTGTAAAATTTAGATTCATCAAAAAAGAAAAGAAAAGAAAAAAACACAGTTTTACGTCAGTTCAGCTCTCCTGGCTTGGTGGTGGATCTCACAGGCAAGTCCAGGATGATCCTGTCCGGTCCGGTCATGGCTGGGGCAGTAAAGTACTGATCACTGTGTGCCATCGAGTGCTGGGCGGATGGCAGCTGCTGGAACTCGTCACACTGGGCTGTCCCCAGTCCTGTGTGATGGGGCTTCTGATCCATGAGGGTCCGAACGGACCCGACAGAGGCCAGGGGCTCAGAATACAGAGAGGGAGACTCGGTGATACCAAGAGGAGCTGAGGAGGAGGTGAGAGATGAAGGCCAGGCAGGTGGACGAAGGAGGAGGGGGTTGAAGATCCAGAGTGGTCCGAGGGAAGGAGGTGGTCTGCGTGGCGGGAACACCTGGGAGGAAACATAAAAAGTTCCCAAATGTTCTGCTTTAACTCAAAATATTTTTATCTCAGCTTCTATCAACCAGTTCTTCAGCTCTCTGCTCATGAGCAGTGATCATTTAAGTTTTAAGTTTCTGCCCAATCGTGTCCAACTCAAGGCCCGCTGGCCAAATGTGGCCCGCCACAGCATTTTATGTGGCCCGCGAGAGCTTCGTATTATTGCCTCAAAATAAGTCATCATTAACCATAAACTACATCCCCCATAATGCATGTTGGTTATTTGACCCACAAAATGACAGTATCCCACCACCAGGTGGAGGTGCAAGGTTCACAAGTATCCTCAATTTAAACTGGAACGTGGAAAGTGGGAGAGTTCAGAATTCAAGATGGCAGCTACTCAGCACAACTCAGTGAGTCACTAACTTTTACTTTTAATAGTATTTCTATACAGTGGTTTGCAAAAGTATTCATACCCCTTGAACTTTTCCATATTTTGTCACATTACAACCACAAACATAAA